AGAGAGAGAGAGAGAGAGAGAGAGAGAGAGAGAGAGAGAGAGAGAGAGAGACAGAGACAGAGACAGAGACAGAGAGAGACAGACAGAGAAGGAAGGCGGGACAACGAGAGTGCCGCGTCCAGTGACAGACTCCCTACTCCCCACTCGCCTCCCCACAACCCCGTCAACTTACCGTGGTACCAGGCCTGGCGCACTCAGAGGAACGTCAGTAGTGGTAGCAGCAACAGCAACAGCAGCAACAGCAGCAACAGAAGAAACAGCAGAAACAACTGCAACAACAACAGCAGCACCAGCAAACAGGGGAAAAGAAAGAGAGAGAGAGCGAGAGGGAGAGAGAAGATTGAAGAGAAAAAGAACAAGGATAGGAAGAACAACAAGTGCTTTAAACAGAAAACAAAACAGATAAACAAACAAACAAACAAACAACAACTAACAACCAAACAAACAAAAAAGCCCAAACAACGACACCACAAAAAGACCAACCAAAAAAAAAAAAAACCGGCAAAAAAAAAGTGAAAAGACACACTCACTCAGACACACACACTTATAGACACACACGCACGCACAGGCACGCACTCACAAAGCTGCTACGTCATAAGCGGTAGCAGTACTGCCGGTGACGTCATCAGAGGGAGAAATCCGCACGTCGAGTCGACAGACGAGGTTTTTGCTAAGTGAAGTGTTCGCTCCGGAACAAGGAGGTGTTTGCTGGCCCAGGTCTTTTCCCACTGCTGTCTGAGTCACGTGACTGTTGGAACCTTGAGGTAATGTGATGTGAGAAACGTTAGATAGTAAGATAGACACCTAAAGAAGTCGTTATTTAGTAAGTGTATTATATATATATATATATTTTTTTTTTTTTTAAATAAGCGTTTTACTGAACTTGCAACACAATAGGTCATATAAGTGACGAAGATTAGATGTGTTACAAGAGAGTAACAAACAGAAAAAAACGGAGGAGGGGAGATCAGGACGATAACAAAATGTTAGATAGGAAAGAAGGAGCAAACCACACAAGAGCACCCGCCAACCACCCACTGTGTATTACATGTACAGTGTAGATCTATATCTATGACAAAGATCTTTTTTTTTGTCGGGTTTTTTTTTCGTGCTTTCAATTGAGTGGTTATAATTTTATTATTGATCTTTGGGGTTTTTTTTGTTGTTGTTGGATTTTTTTGGGTTTGTTTTATTGTTTCTGTTTCTTTGTGTTTTGGGTTTTTGTTTTACCTTCTTTTTAAAAATTGGTTTTGATGGGGTTTTTCTTCTTTCTTTTTATTTGATAAGGGAGATTGAGGGGGGGGGGGGGGGG